CGCCAATATCAGTGGGGAGTTACAGTGCACCAGGCACTGTTCCATTAAAACTGTCTCCATCTCATTTATTTTTTTTATTTTTAAAAATATATATTTTATTGATTTTTTACAGAGAGGAAGGGAGAGGGATAGAGTTAGAAACATCGATGAAAGAGAAACATCGATCAGCTGCCTCCTGCACACAGACCTCCTACTGGGGATGTGCCTGCAACCAAGGTACATGCCCTTGACCAGAATCGAACCTGGGACCTTTCAGTCCCCAGGCTGATGCTCTAACCACTGAACCAAACTGGTTAGGGCTGTCTCCATCTCATTTAAACCCCACAGGAACCCCGAGGTGGTGGCCTGGTGACATGCCCCCTTCACAGAGCCAGTCGGCTAGGGAACTGCAGTGGGACCCAGGCATTCTGGGAACACCGAGCTCATCCATAAACACAAAGTGACCCTCGGGAAGGCCCCGCAGCCTTGCCACATGGATCCCACCTGGGCCAGCAACAGAGAACAAAGCACAGGTCCTGCCTGGGGCTCACGCAGTGGGGAACCAGCACAAAAAGGGGCACCTGTGGCCTGGAGTTGGGACGTGGGCTCCCAGCTCTGCACCCCCCACCACGTGGCTCCAGCAGTTCATGACCTCCTGGGGTGGGGGTGGGGAGTGAGGGGCCCTGTTCCTCTGCAAAATGAGGGGGTGGCCTGCACCTCTCCCGCCCTCCCAGCTCCAAAAGGTGTGAGCTCCTCCTGGGATGCGGGCACCGGAAACCTTGCTGAGCCGCCAGCCCTTCTCCTGGCCCCAGCGCCCCGGAAGGCTCCGGAAAGGGGCCGGGGACCTGAGCTCTGGCTCCAGAGCTGCTTCCAAAGCCACACGCTTGGCCTCTCCTGCCTTGTAGCTCCCATCTGATCCATGAAAGCAGCGCCCACCAGCCCACCCCCACTTTATGGGGCTCAGGTGGCGAATCGGAACCGCCCTGGGAGACCGGGGCTCCCTGCACACGGAGGATTTAGGGCTGTGATGGCCTCTTACCCTCTACCTGCTGCTGTTTCCCAGTCGCTGAGATGAGGACAGGACCCGATGTGAGCGAACAACAGGCGGCACTGGGCGTCACTGCCGGCCTCGGCTCACAAAACCACGCAAAACCACCGCCGCCGGGTCCAGGCCCCCGACCCACAGCAGCCCCGCCCGGTGCGGGAGGACGGCCGGCGAGCAGCCTGGGAGTGAATTGCCTTCAGGTGGCCCAGTGAGGCCCGGTGAGGCCGGGGGTGTGGGGAGGCCAGCGAGAGGGGTTTTCCTTCTGACACTGGCCCTGTGTGGACTCAGGGGGGCTCAAAGGTGAAGCCTCAGGGAGCTGACCCCAAAATGACAATCATTCGTTAGACATTGTAGCTGAGCACCCACCGGGTACCAGACACTGGGAAACAGCTGCAAAATGCCCGAGGGGGGCCCCCCCGCTGTTGGGTTTCCGCGCACCCCCTGCCCTTCCCGCGCCCGCAGCGTCTGGGCCTGCCTGGGCCTCTCTGGGGAGAGCACAGGGAGGGAGGCAAGTGGGAGTGGCAGCCAGAGCCGGACTAAGGAAGCTGGGGAGCCGAACCCCGGCTGGCACAGGAGGCTGAGCAGGGGCCGGCACACTTCTCGGCCCCAGGAAGAGCAGTGGTCACATTCGAGCCCAGCAGCCCCACTGGGCCGGCGGCGACAGCCAGCGTCAGGCGCGTTTTGCATGTGTGGCCCGTGATCACCTCCTGCCTCAGCCTGCGCCGCCTCCACCCGCCTCGCCTCCTCGGCCTGACTTCAGTCCTTGGTATGCACAGTCTCTCCCCTGGGCCCCAACAAGGCCTGCTGGGCTGGTGGAGGTCGTTCCCACTCCGCGACCTTGCTCACTCTACACATCTAACATTGCCTCTCAGTCTGTGTCCCCAGTTCCCTAGGGCCAATGGCTCCCTGACCATTTGTTTCTAAACCAGTTGCTAGTTTCCTCTCAAGGTATACACCACGTAACCAGGGACTGAAATGTTACAATTCCCAGGTCCCGCGGGGAACCCAGAAGTGCAGGGCGAGGCCCTGCCCTTAGGAGTGTGTAATCGAGTTACTGAAACTTAAAATCGAGTGAGGATGCAGCCGCCCACAATCCTACCATGCCACCGGCTGGCGGATTACAGTATGTGCTGAATGCCGCTGCAGGGGGAGAGGTCATGACCAGCCAGCTTAGGTTCTCGTAAAAGGTGGCATTGAGCTGACCTGGAAGGATGAGTAGGATGTGAGGGAAGAGGGCAGAAGGCGTTTTATGGAGGGCAGCCCTAGCTTTTTGGCTCAGTGGATAGAGCGTCAGCCTGCACATGCCCGGTTGTGGGCTCAGTCCCCATTAGGGGGTGTGCAGGAGGCAGCCGATCAATGATTCTCTTTCATCATTGATGTTTCTATCTCCCTCTCCTTTCCTCTCTGAAATCAATTGTGTGTGTGTGTGTGTGTGTGAGAGAGAGAGAGAGAGAGAGAGAGAGAGAGAGAGAGAGAGAGAGAGAGAGAGCGCGCAGAAGGCATTCCATGGCATCCATGGCCAAAGTGTCATGCATTTTGTATTGATCGCTGTCACTGTGATCCAAGTAGGAGGCGATAGCCTAGTCAGGTGGTGGCCACAGAATGGATGAGGACACATTACTTTGGCTGCTCCTTCCTCAGGGAATAAATGCCTTCAGCATCACCTACACAATCTAAGTGTGAAGTGCCATCAACTCCCACAGGTGAGGTAGGAATCCCCTAAACTGATAAATGTCCATTGCCCCAGGGGAAGGGACTCTTGAAACACAAGTCAGGCTTTTATTGGGAAATAATTTTAAGTGTGCTTCCTGCATATTTGTGATCACTCAGACTGGTGACCAGGCACCTATATTTTTATGATCCCCGCAGGCAACTGTCAGACACACCTAAGTGAGAGACTCCCTGGCCCGAAGAGAGAGCTATTGTGGGGGGTGGAATGTAGGGGAGTAGGGGGGTCAGGGAGACCCGGGGGAGAGATGGAGGTGGCCCTGGCAGGTGAGGGGCTCACTCAGAGAGAAACGGAGCTGGGGCTGGGGGCTGGATGTTCCCAGTTCAGAAGATGGAGAGGGAGGCGTTGCAGGCAAGAAGGCCCTGGCTTCGGGGTTCAGCCTGTTCCGGGTGAGGGAGGCAGGCTGCGACCACAGGGCAAGGCTTTGAACCCCAGGCTAAGAACCAGGACCAGATCCTGAAGCTTCCAAAAGCAGGGAAGCCCTAGCTGGTTTGGCTCAGTGGATAGAGCACTGGCCTGCGGACTAAAGGGTCCCGGGTTCAATTCCAGTCAGGGGCACATGCCCGGGTTGTGGGCTCGATCCCCAATAGGGGGCATGAAGGAGGTAGCTGATCAATGATTCTCTCTCATCATTGATGTTTCTATCTCTCCCTCACCCTTCCTCTCTGGAAAAAAAAAAAAAAATAGATTAAGAAAACAAACAAAAAAAGGCAGGGAAGGCTGTGAGCAGATGTGAGCAGAAAAGGAAGACCCTTTCCAGCACCAGGAGCGACCGTAGCTGCTATTCACCCACTCAGGGCCCTGAGGTCTCTGAGGTGAGCTGTGGTCAGAGGGGCAGCCCACGCCACCTTCTGCCCCAGCTCTTATCGCCTTCACAGCGTGCCCTGACTTTACTTCCATTTCTGACCTCAAGTCCTTGGTATGCACAAAATTCTTACTTCTCCTCTGGCTGCCCTGCCCGCCTCTCTGGCCACAGTTTTGAGTTCTGTACCCTGATTCCTGCCCTTTTATGTTTGCTTTTCTTAGGCCTTCAGCACAGTCCGTCAAGATTAATTTGACACCAAACTGGCTCTCTCTAGACCGTGCCTCGAAACCGGCTTCCTCTCGGCACAAGAGCAGGACTCACACAGGGAGCATGGCCCCCCCTAGGGCAGTCCTGGGGGCGGAGTCCTCTGTCTCCGGGGACAACTCACTGGAGAAAGAAGCAATTCCTTTTATTTTAAAAATATATATTTTTACTGATTTCAGAGAGAAGATGGGAGAGGGAGAGCTAGGAACATCAATGACGAGAGCATGCCATTGATTGGCTGCCTCCTGCACGCCCCCTAGTGGGATCGAGCCCACAGCCAGGGCATGTGCCCTGACTGAGAATTGAACCTTGACCTCCTGGTCCATAGGTCAACACTCAACCACTGCGCCACACCAGCCAGGCAAAGAAGCCATTTCTTGAAGCTCCGTTGGTAGAAGTAACTTGCTATGATTCTGGCCCGTGGGCTCCAGCACTCACGTGATCTTGCCTGCTCTGCTCTGAAAGGGGTGGGTGCCTTCCTGCAACCAGGACAGGGCCCCTCACCCCCAGAGCCTGCCACTCCGGATGCCTCCGCCTTACTCAGAAGGACAGTCTTCATTTGCTTCCGGGATTAGGTGAGAGGGGGAAACTGGGCCCAATTACCACATGGACTTTTATTCTCTTGTAGGAGCCGCTCTGGGGAGGGAAGAGGAGTTTCTGACACCTTCCTTCCCCGGGACAGAATGCACTGTTTCCTCCTCTTCACTTACATCTGCAGTTGATCTTGGAATTGGTCACAGTACTTTGTGTGGCCAGTACATTGAGTGCAATTTCGGGCTCAAGAATGAAACAATAGGTTGCTCTGTTTTCTCAAAATCCTTGGAGTCCTGGAGCCTCGTCCCTACCACATCTTCCCTGAGAATCTTTGTCCGCAGCAGTTGCTAAACCTGTGCCAGCCCACAGCACCTCACATTGTTGGGTTTTTTTGTGTGTTTTTTTCATTGATTTTATTCTTCTATGTTTTTATTGATTTTTTAGAGAGAGCGAGGAAGGAAGAGGGATAGAGAGAAACTTCCCTCAGTCTTATGGGTGCCTCCTACACGCCCCCTACTGGGGATCTGCAACCTGAGCATGTGTCCTGACCTGAAATCGAACCAGTGACCTCTTGGTTCATGGGTCAACGCTCAACCACTGAGCCATGCCGGCTGGGCTATTTATTGATTTCAGAGAGAAAGAGAGGCTTGTTGTCTCACTTGTTTATGCATTCATTGGTTGATTCTTGTATGTTCCCTGACCAGTGATCGAACCCAAAACCTTGGCATAGCTGGAGGATGCTCCAACTAACTGAGCTACTCGGCCAGGGCCAGCACCTCACATTCTGGTCCAGGAACCCCAAGGCACAAGGAGCCTGCCAAGCTGGGACGACATCACAGAACTTGGTCCTGGTGGCATATCTGCTGCCAGATTTCTTAGTCAGAAAGACAGGTTCTGCCCAAATAGCAACATCACTTTTTTCCCCAACCCCTGGCACAGATGCCAGGCCTGCGGTGAGAACACATTAACGTACGCTGTCACTGGCGCCTCCCTGCTGAGACCTGCTGGGCTCTGAGAGAGCATCTGAGACAGCAAAGAACTCCGGGCAACATGATGGGGCGGCTTGAAGTCTTCACACAACGCTGAGTCTTGATTTATGTGGCATATGAACTAAAAATACATTTGAACAGCATTGTTAATCATAACTCTGGCGTATTTTTCTATATGACTCTACGTTTTTCACACACATGCTATCATTTTTTTGATTTAATTTTATTTTACAATAGCCTATGAAGTACATAAGCTGGGTATGGCTGTCACTTTCTAAGATCCTAGGAGGGGGCTGAGTGGAGGCTTGTGTAGGAGGGACGAGTCCTGGCTGGTTGCTCCTCATTCCCAGCGATAGGTACCATTTTATTAAATCTGTTGTATCAGCTATGTCAAGACTATCACAGGAAAAATATCATTGGAGGAATCTTCCCGATTTAGCAGACAATGCATATCCTCAAACATTCTAGATGCCTAATCCAGAAGCTCTTGTTCATGGCCATGTTTTCCAAACCCATACGTAAGAGGCTGTTTACCTGGGTTCAAGCCACTTAACATAGTTGTCAACCTGCTGATGATTTTGCAAACTTAATGGCTGCCAAGGTTATGTCCAATCAGTTCATTCAATTCCATGAACATTTACAGAGCACTTCCTGTTTTCAGAATGCCAATGGACAGACACACGGCTCAGGGCAGTCCCCAGGCAAAGTCTGTGCCCAAGGACGCCAGGACCTGCTGAGAGGCCCTGGTAGATTGAAATTTGGATTCAAATCAAGAAGAATTCTGGCTTTGGGAGTTTCTGACCAAATTAGGAGACCGGAACATCCATCCACGTCTTGGTCCTCATCTTACCAGACGGGTCACATCCTGTTTTTCATCGTTTCATCAGCCTAGAGCCAGCTCAGCCATGATGGGGCGAAACCACCACCAGAAAGTCCTGGGACGTGGCCCACGCGGAGGCAGTGCTCACCATTTCTCACTCACGGGCTAATCCCCCAGGCATTTATTAAATGCCTACTGTGTGCAAGGTGAGGTGATGAACAGAAAGGCAAGCATGGCCAGGTGGTCCCCACCCTAGGTTCCTGGTAGAAAACAGGTCACAATAGGCTGCTCTCATAACTGCTGCAGGGTGAGCTAAGGGGCCAAGGCAAAGCCAAATGGCCAGGAGAATGGCCCCAGTGAAAGGACAGTGTGAAATACTGTGACAGGACGCTGGGAATCAATGGCTGGAGACCAGCCTGGTGTGTAGCAATTGGGAACCCAGTGGCTCTTCTGGAACAAAGGAGCTGAGTAAACTGTGATTCCCAGAGGCAGAAAGGCAAACACCAGGCTTTCTGAAAACGGTTGCCATGGCCACAGACCAAAAACAGACAGTTCTCCATCAGTTTCTGGCCCCACCTGTACCCACTGGTATTAGCATCAGTATTTTCTTGGAGTAGGAACAATGTCTGACAGGAAACATTAGTTTACAATGTTATTTAATTCAACACAAATACAACTTCCTTAGTTGTCACTGGCCAACTAGCAGAAAAAAAAAAAATATATTAGCCAAAACCGGTTTGGCTCAGTGGATAGAGCGTCGGCCTGCGGACTGAAAGGTCCCAGGTTCGATTCCGGTCAAGGGCATGTACCTGGGTTGCGGGCATATCCCCAGTAGGAGATGTGCAGGAGGCAGCTGATCGATGTTTCTAACTCTCTATCTCTCTCCCTTCCTCTCTGTAAAAAATCAATAAAATATATTTTAAAAAAAAAATTAAAGGAACTCAACTAAATTTCTCAAAAATTTCACTTGCATACAACCTATTCAGATAGTAGCTTCTAATTGTGAGATTTGGGGCAAATTACTGCATTTCTCTTTGTGTCTTTGATTCCAAATCTGTTATGATGAGGACTGTACACAGAGTAAGTGCTATAAATATGTTAGCTATACATTATTATTATTATTGTTACTAAATCACTATGCTAAGCTCGAAGTCAGACAAATGCTCAGCCTTTCCCGATCTGTATCCTTTATCTGTCCTATCCTTAGAGATGCTTTTGGGTGAGCATCTACTTATTACAGAATCTTTTAAGAAGCGTCTTTTTTAATCTTTGAGACAGTGTCCACAGATTTTTCTGGTACTTCACAAGTTGCTGAGGCATCGTAAATTCTTTTCTTTATCCCGTATTTTCAGACCATCAAGTCAGGAGCGGTGACAGCTGGATAAGCCTCATGAGCTCTTTGGTCTGCAGCCACTCCTTAATGGAAAGGGCTATTTCTGCCCCTCGGTGCAGGGCAGTTACAAATGTCAAAGGCAGACCTATCCCATCCTCCCCGGCTCCCTTCCCACTCTGCTGTCTTCGGCCCCACCTTCCTGTCCCGTCCCTGGCCTCCTTGTGGATGAGTGAACGCTGATGGGGTGGGCCTGGGGCGCACTGACCTAAAATACCTTCCCGGGCCCTCGGGCTGGGCGTTTCACCCTCTGCTTTGAACTCTGAGGGCTGAGCAAAGGGGCTTCCTGCTCCAAGTCCATGACTATAAATATGCCTCTTGGTCAGGGCTGTCCCCAACAGTCCCTAGATAAACCACTCTCCTGGGAGGGGACATTAACCTGTTATCATCCCAGGCTCTTTAGGACACAGGACCAAAACACCATCATTGATGTTCCTATCTCTTTCTCCCTCTCGCTTCCTCTCTGAAATCAATAATATATATGTATATATATATATTTTTTTAAAAAATCAATCAGCTCTAGCTGGTTTGGCTCAGTGGATAGAGCGTCAGCCTGCGGACTGAAGGGTCCTGGGTTTGATTCCTCTCAAGGGCACATGCCTGGGTTTCGGGCTCAATCCCCAGTAGGGGGCGTGCAGGAGGCAGCCTATCCATGATTTTCTCTCATCATTGATGTTTCTATCTCTCTCGCCTTCTCCCTTCCTCTCTGAAATCAATAAAAATATATTTAAAAAAATTTTAATCAACCAATGAAAGCATAAATAGTGCAATAACAAATCTCTCTCTCAAATTAATTAAAAAGAAAACACTTTTTTAGTAGACCCAAAATACACAATGGCTCATGAGTAAATGGCAAATAAACATGTTTAAGTCACAGTGACCAGACTTACCCGGCAGGGGAGATACATGGATCACAAAAGCGGTTTTCCCAGAGAGAGGCTTGTCCACTGCACTCCGCACGTGCCGCCCCTGCAGTTTCCCCAAGTGTGGGGAACTCGGCAGCGTAACTTGTGGTGGAGGGGGCCTGCGTTCATTCTCTCCCCTAAAAATAAATAAATAGACAGATAGTAGTGACCATTTATCACCTATTCTATATCAGCCATTTTATACATATTATTTATGTTTAAGTAATAATTTAAAATAAAATATTAAACAAATATTTTATATTATTTATTTTAAACATAACACAGGTAACACTTGTGGTTAAAAATTCAAAAACATATCGTTTTAAAAGGGAAAACCTGTTTTTTTTCCTCCCCAACCCTGCACCCCATCATCTCATGTGTCGCTGCATATTCTGACTTTGGGGTACATTGTTCCGAGTACGAAGGGATACAGACACGTTTCCAAGTCCAGCATTTCTATCCGATCAGCCCCATCTCACAGAGGCGGGGACTGCAGTGCAGAGTGAAGTGTTCACCCGAGACCACAGGCACAGGAGCGGGATTCAAACCCAGCCCTGCCTCCCGCCGCGCCCCCTCGGAGCCGTCGGAGGACCGGGTCCCGAGTCCGAGTCCCCGCGGCCGCGCCGGGCCCCAGGGGCAGTGCCAGGGGCGACGGGCCTCCAACCCGCGGGGAGCGCTCGCGTTTCGACCCCTGGAGCCGTCGGCGGCGGCCCCGAGTGGGTGGCCGGGGCGACCAGGGGTGGGGGGGCCGCCCCACGCGGGGCCGCCGAGGGGCGCGGGCGGGCGCGTGGCGGGCGTGGCGGGGGCGTGGCGCGGGGCGGAGCCGCGGCCGGAGGCGGCAGAGTCCGGAGCGGGGCTCAGGGGCCGCCGTGGCCGCCGCGGAGCCGGGCCGCCTCCAGGGAGCGCCCGGGCGCAGAGGGGTTAACGGGCCGCCGGGGCCGCGCAGAGCAGGTACAGACCTTCCCCGGGGGCCCCGGCCCCGGCGCCCTCCGTCCCGGTCCCGTTAGGCCGCCCGCCCCGCGCGCCCGCGCCGCCCCCGCTCCCTGCGCCCCGCGGTGCGTCCTCACCGCGACCCTGACCCCAGCGCTCAGAGCCGCGCCGGATCCTCCAGTCCCCGAGGTCGAATTCCTGGGGAGGGGGCTCTGACCCCGGGACTCTCCCGGGTCGCCCTGGAGAAGCACCGGCCAGGATTCCTGCTAAGTCACATAGTCAAACTGGAAAACATGCTAGGACGTCCTCGCACGCGCCAGCGCCTCCCGCCCTCCCCTGGAGGATGGTGTGCCCCCCCCCCCCCCGCCACGTCCCTCCCAGAGTTGGGGGACAGGGGAGCTGGGAGGGATGGAGGTGGGTGCCCGAGATCCAGCACAGCCTGATGACCGGAAGGAAGACACCTGTTGGCAGGGCCGGTCCTCCAGGACCCAGGAATGGAGGGCGCCCTGAGGACCCAGGAGTTCTACCCAGGGTAGGGGCTCCGTGCCAGCCTGAACATGCTGCCCAGCCCTCTCCCCCCAAGCACCCCCCCTTCCCGGAGGTGGGTGCCTCTGGGGGTAAAAGGGTCAGTTAGCCCTGCCCAGGTCTCTCTCCTCTTTGATCTTCACTGGCCAGCGTGGAGGTGTGGCCAGGAGGAGCCCAGGTTTACCCAGGCCCATGCCCAGCCTGGCACCGGAGCGCCACTTCTGACCTCCCCTTCCCTCCCCCTGGGCAGTGAGGGACCCACCAGATGCGGGACATGGAAGGGGTAACAAGCACATGTGTGTCCTGTTTCTGCAGTGGAGGGGCGGTCGGCCCCCTGCCCAGCTGTGCAGGGGGGCTGGGGTGGGACTTTTCCAGAGAGGGAGCCAGGCCTGGCGAGGGCCCCAGGAGCTCACGTCACCCCCACCCTCCACCCCTCACTTCTCCAGGGAACTGCCAAAGCCAAACCCAGCTCAGGACAGGATTATGTGTGCTGGGTCGATCCATGGGAGAGACGACAAGACACAGAGCTGGGGGAGCAGAGGGAAGCAGAGTCAGAGAGGAGAGGAAAGGGGACCCCGAAGCAGAGAAGGGACGGGCGGTGACCATCACCCTCAGCTCTCCTCCCTTCAACCTCAAGTCACTGCGTCAGGCAGAGTGGAAGGTTTGGGTGGAACTTTGGCCCTTCTCTGGAACCACTACCTCCCGCCCCCTCCATCAGGGTGGAGTTACTGACCTCAGTGGTCAGCCCCGCCAACAGCAACCCCCTCCCCAACCCCAAGCAGCTGGGGTGACCCCGCAGGTCAGGCTCAGCCATTGTGATCCTGCCCTCGGATTCCCAAGTCCCGGGGTCTCGGGGAGGGAGTGGGCTGACGGTTGCTCTCCCCAAGCACATTCCTGCCCTTCCCGCTGTCATTTCCCGGCCCCTGAGCTGGCCCACCTCGGCACTGGCTCCTTGGACTCCTTTCCCGGGTGCCTTTCAGATCCAACAGAAACATTTTTTTTTTCCTGGAAAGCATAACTAAGAGTGGGATGAAGGGTGGGGGCGGGGAGGGCTGGTACTGAACAGGAAGGGGCTGGAGGGCCATGGGGGAGCCATGGGAATGCCAGGCTTTGAGTCCGGGAGGGCTCCAAGCGCCGCTTTCCTGATTGATCAACTAGACTTGGGGACGGACGCCTGTGCTCTTCGGAATGGCAGGCCTGTGACTGGGGAGTGGCGGCAGCTATACCGCATCTTTCCTTCCCAGGTCGTCCCCCCCCCCTCGTCCATCACTGTCACCCCTGAAATAAGCTCTCATTGAGCCAGTGCTGGACGCTGGCCCCTGAAGGGAGGTTATGTGGAAATGGGAACATCACCTGCTTCTCTAGAGATTAAGCCATCAGCCCACTTAGTTGATCCCACTTTGTTCAAGGCAGGCTGGCCTGTGCCTCAGTGTTTTAGACGCAGCTTAGCTAAGAAGGGAAGAGGCTGGGAGGCAGGTCGGAAACAGAAAGGCCACGGGCTTCTTGGCAGCTCCTCAAGGGGGCGCCTGGCCTGTCCTCCCCAGCCTCCCTCCTCCCCCGGGACCTCCAGGAGGGCAGGAGTGGGAGCCAAGGGAAGACCATCCTAAGAAAGACGCACGGGCCTGAGCCGGCCCAGGAACAGTTCCTAGCTGGGACGAGGGAGGAGCTAAGGAGTTCCTATGGGGCTGGGGGAGGAGGCTGACTGAGCCCTCCACCCTCTGGCCTCAGCAGCTGGACAGGGCGCATGCCTTCTCACGCTCACCCTTAGGATCATCAAGGGATGGGCCAGGCTCCCCCCTCCCACATCCTCACTTCGAGATGACCTTCTGCGGAGTCATCCCTCTCAACCCCAAGCTTTCTGGAGTAACCACCAGGCTTCTGTCCCTGCAGCGAGCACCCCCTCTGCGTCCAGATGACTGAATAGTGTGTTTACTTCCGGTCCCCTCCTCCTTTGCCCCATCGAGGAGGAGTGATGGAGAAGTGGGCAGGCAGGTAAGAAGGGGTGGGTTCCCCCGGTGGAGGAATGGCTGGGTCCCTGGGAGTGAGGGAGAGGAGAGGACTGGGAGGGGCGGAGGCAGGGGGGGGTGAGGTGGGGGGGGGATGAAGTGATGAGTAACTTCTGCTTTCTGAGAATCTGCATCAGGATGTGGGGAGCCTGCTGGGGGTGAGGGCAGTGTCGCAAGACCAACTCCGGCTTCCATCCGGTCCCCACTCTGCCTTTGGTTTGTAGGCCCCCGTTTGGTCTGGTGCTGCTTCTGTCCCTCCCTCAGCTCTGCCTGGATCAGGAGGTGAGCCAGGGACCAGAAGCTGTGATCCTTGCATCTCCCCTGACCTCCCACCCACTTCTCCAGGTCATGCCTCCCTTTTCCAAAGCCTCTGCTGAACCATGGCCCCTTCCACCCCCGGCCTCCCCAACGCCCTAGCTCCTGGCCAGATCACACCTCTGCTATTGAATGTGGCTTTGGGCTGGCAACAGCCTCCCTGAGCCTTGAGCATTGGACTAGAGCCTCTCTGTATGGTTCCCTCTAAAATCATTCTCATTTTGTTTGACCTTTTTGTCTACATAGGTGTTGTCTGGACACGCTCTTCTCACACCCCCTGAGGATGGCCAGGGCCCTGAGGGCGTCTGGGGTCCTTGGGACCAGTGGGCCTCCTGCTCCCAGCCATGTGGGGTGGGGGTGCAACACAGGAGCCGGACTTGTCAGCTCCCTGCAGCTCAACTCCACCAGGGCCCACCCTTCCCGTCCCGGCCCCCAAGGCATCCAGAAATCTTGCTCTCCCAAAGTCAGGGCCCCAGACCCCAAGCTCCCCAAGAAACTCTCCCCCTGTACAGGCCACAGCCTCAGGGCAGAGGTGGCCCACTGCGAGGTCCTGCTTCCCAGTTAGGGAGAGAGGAGGCCCAGGAGACTCCAGGAGCCAGGAGGTGAGGGGAGGGGCTTTGAGGGAAGGGGTGGGCCTTAGGCAAGGGCTGGGGCTTGGAATAAAGGAATGGGGAGGAGGACAGAGGGCTGGAGTGGGTGCTTATCTCTGGTGCCAGGAAGTAGAGGGGGCAGGAGAGGCCGGGTAACAGACGACCAGAGCCGTGACCCCATGTCTGCAACACCTTCTCAGGTCCCGGGTTCGAGACCCCATCAAGCCAGGAATGTTTGGTTACGGGAGGGTGCCCTTTGCTTTGCCACTCCATCGGAACCGCCGGCACCGCCAGAGACCACGCAGATCCGAGCTCTCCCAGGCCTCAGAGCTGCTTCCCTCCCTGACTCCAGGAGCAGAGCCATCCTCTGCAAACCACACCCCTCAAACTCACTTCCCCCCTGTGCAACCAGCCTCTCACACCCTGTCCCCCCCTGCAGAATCCCCAGGCCCTGAGGCTGCTCGGACAGAGGTGCCTTCGAGAACCAGGCCCCCTCCCAGGGCTCAGGCCTCTGGCAAAGAGCCCCCCTCGTTTATCCCCTCCCCAGGAGAAAGTGTCTCCTTCCACGTGTCCCCTAAGCCAAGAATGCCAAGTCCCCAGGGTTGGGCCAGTCCCCAGGTGGCAGAGAGACACCCTAATCCTTTCCTTTCTGTCCCTCGGGGCTGGGGCCGGGGCCGAGGCCACCAGGGCCGGGAGCACTGGCGATCTGGGGGGCATGGCCCCAGGTCCCCCCCAGAGTCTGCCCCTGGATACCCGGATGGCTGGTTGCCTCTGCTGAGGGCTGGCCCCCACACCGGCTCCCAGTGGAGCCTCTTTGCTCCCGGTAGCCCCGTCCCAAGATGTTCTGGGGAGAGTGAGCAGCTGAGAGCCTGCAGCCACGCGGTGAGTTCTCCTTGGACCCACACCCCCTCCACTGCTGCTTCCCTGACCCTGCCTCTGGGTCCTCAGCTTGTCAGATTGGGACCTGAGGGAGAGGGGCCTTCCATTTGACCTCCTCAGGGTAAGGGCCTTGGAGCCCCTCCAGAGACCAGACCTCCTCCCTACTCCCCAAACCCAGCCCTGACCCACACCCCCATTTTCCTCCCCAGCTTTGACTCCTCTGTATCCCCCCCACCTCAGCCCTGCCCCCCTGAGCATCCAGACCCCCGGGCCCTGCAATGTGCAGCCTTTGACTCCCAGGAGTTCATGGGCCAGCTGTACCAGTGGGAGCCCTTCACAGAAGGTGAGGTTTCCAGCCCATCCCTGGACAGGGAGCGGGGGCCGCAGGGGGCTTAAGACTGGGGGATGAGCAGGCAAGTGGCACCTCACCCCTCGTTTTCTCCTCTGTGGGCCCTCATGTTCCTACTGCGTCCT